ATAACGTACCTTAATGTCCATAATAGTCTCCTGTGCAGATTGTGTCACTACACAATGATCCAACCACCTACGGGAGCCATGTGCATCACTAACAAAAGTATATACATCAGAACACAAACCAAACTTGCATATATCTGCACATAACCATTTCTGGTCCTTGCAGAAACGAGATAATTCTGTCTCAAATAACAGATGTGCTACCCGATTTATGTAAAGGGATAATTTTACTATATTTCATGAGCTCAGGAAAAATACCACAATCAGTACATTAATTAAATATATAAGCTAGAATTGGAGCTATTCTCTCAATTACCGATTTGGAAACTTTAATGGAATTACCCCATAAATCAGCGGTTTTCTTTTTTTTAGCAGATGAAATTATTTTATTATATCTTTAAAATCAATGTGCTAAAACTTAAATTGGCTATTACAATTATTTAAACTTGCCTGTAAAATAGATTCAGCAACAGTAGAAGATGAATTCAAAAATTGTGTAATTAAGACTGGAATTAATTTGACAGTTGCACTCCGTACGTGCCTAACAAATAATAATACTAAATGTAGAGACTTGCATTGATTAATTGTTAAATTACGATCGCTATGAGTTAGCAACCATATTGATTGCGATCACATACTCTGTCGAGCCTGCAGCCAAATACACCGAACGACCCCTGGAGGTGAGCAGCGCACAATTGATCGTTGTGGAAATTCATGGGGAGGGTGTTACGGCTAGAATGATGGTGATGATCAGTTCATAGTCAAAAGTTCCACCTAAGCCGAGTGCCAAGTTTCTTGAATAAGACAAATAAAGTAAGCACTCACTCCAAATTGTGCCACCAGAATGTACTTAATATTAACAGAAACAGTAAACCTATAAGGTTTCTTATACTTGTTTCAAGATTTAAGTACTTTTAAAATCTGTTACGGAATACTGAGGGTATTCTGTAACAGGTTGAGTTTGCCATGCTTTGATGTGAACTTTTAGGATTGTCTCGCATTTGAAACCGAAATAACAAATAAAACTTGTTAGTTGTATGGCAATGTTTCGCATGTGCTTTATCTCGCTCTATATAATTATACAACGAAATGGGTGCGTCATTGTAGTTTGTGGTCCTTAGCACTTAGTATCATAGAGTAAGGTAGAGTGGAAATATTTTCTATGGTTATATAAATATCATGCAATCTGAAGTTGACATCAGAAACATCATGTTGTCTTTTTTTAACTAATAAGAAGTTTCTTTAGTAAACAAAGATAACACTAGTGTGACAGTTCAAAATTTTTTACGTGACGTCATGAGATATAGCTATCGTACCACCTGTCAGCCATTTGCAAATTTGCTTTGCGTATTCTCGGAAGTAGTTCAGCTGTCAGTGTTATAAGTTTTGTGGTTATTTTCATTTATAACTTTAATTTATATAACTTTCATGGCAGAAAATTGTAAACTATTTATGCAAAACAATGCCTAGGTGCTGTATAATTGGTTGTGCGTCATCAATATCCCGCAAACCGAGCAATATTACGTTTCACCGGTAAGTTAAACACTTTCTTGGAATAACAGTATTTAAAACGTAAGTAAGTTATTTTGAAAATGATTGCGTGTATAAATCGATACATATCGTATTTTGGCGTGTTCTATTTATGCTATATTGCTCTTTTCGTTTATATTTTTATAATATTTCGGTCCGTAAATAATATTGTTTACATGGCTAGTGTCGTTACTTTAACATATGGTTTATATCGATAATTTTAATATTTAAAAATATATTAATTATTTTAGATTACCAAAAGATGAAACAAAAGAGGAAAATGGCCGAGTTACATAGAAGCAGAAAATATTAAATGTAATGAAAAAGTTATTTTTATCCGCTCACTTCATTTTACGGAAAGTTGTTTGAATCGAACTTTAAATATAATAAAATTACGAGATGATGCATTGCCAATCAAATACTCTGGTAAGAATTTTTGACAATTGCTTTTAACTTATTTAAAAAAAAATGTCTATTACACTTATTTAATTTTCATTTGATTTTACTGATTTATTTATTTAGTTTTTTATATAGTCATTTTGTTATTCTATAAATGTACCTTATTTTTAGTCTTGCGGTCATATGACGACTATTTTAATTGAAAAAAATCAGAATGCAATATGTAATAATATTAAAATATAAAATTCTGATCATAATATACTCCCAGTAAAATATGTAAATAATTTTAAAATGAGTTAAATAATTTTAATAAAAATTAAAATATGCACACTTATCAAATTAAAGGCATAGTTAAAGGTTTTCTTTGCTGTTCAATAGTATAATCTTAATACCCAAATAATTATTTTGTGGCGTGGATGTTTATTTTGCTGATGCATCATAAAATACGCTACCTTTTTGAATTTAAATTGCTGACCGTTATCATGATTGTTCACAGAACATGAATTGCAGACTGTTTTAGTGCTTATAAAATATTTGTATGCTTGCCTATTGATTTATCGGCTGTTTTCTTCTTGTTAACCAAATTTTTAAATAAAATGCCAATTGTTACTTCTTTAATAATGTTACTGTTATGCCAATTGTTACTTATTCATCACCAACTTTGTTTTCTTTATTTTCTCTTGTTTATTCATCAAAGTTTACAGTATTTTTATGTTCTTTTACCAATAATATAATACAAAGATTATGTAGGTGTTTCAAGTTTTCTATGTTTACTACTAAACAAGATGTTCTGAACTAAAATTGTGACACAGTACGCACGGTATCTCTCTTAATGAGGAGGAAGCGAAATTTATTCAGTCAAAACATTTTATTGAATAAATTTATAGACAAGTTGGCTTACTAGTTACAAGCATATAAGAAAGTCGAAACTCTGTGCTTATAGTTCAGCAATCTATTACGGGAAACCTTGTACCGAGAAAAGAAGAAACTGTAAGAAAGGAACCGGTAAGAAACTGCAAGGGCTGCTTTTGCACCCTGTTTAATTTCGTACTGAAAAATAAAAAATGACTTCATTGGACCAAAATGTCACTTTCCACCAAAACAATAAAAAATATATAACAGACAAAAAAAAGCATAATAATTCATTCGTCAATCGACTCATTAAAAGCTTATTATAGTTACCGTGGTAGTTATCTTGGAGAGTAGTCACACTTCCCGTGGATGCAAAATTAAACTTATGTTAAAAAAACTATTTAATTATAATTGCAAAATGTCAACTTGACAATATATATGGAAATAATTATAAAACACGATTGATATTATTGTAAAACTTTTAAGATATATATTTTGGTACTATAGTTCTTAAAACTATGTAAAATTGGCTATATTAGAGGAAAAAGAAACATATTTATCGAGGTACAATCATATAAAATTATATTATTAAATAATATAAATGTGAAAGTTTGTGAGGATGGATGTTGGTTACTCTCATGTAAAAACTACTGAACGGATTTTAATGAAATTTGGAATACAAATAATCTTTTACCCGTGGGAAGCGCCATCATACGCTAGTAACATATGTTATATTTACTATAGTGACGCAAGGGAGTCGCAAGAACAAAGAACGCAAGAAATTTTAGATGTCCAACAAAATACGAGCAAAAGATTGCTTAATGATTTGTAAATAATTGATAAATTCACGCCACTTTTAAAAAAATATTATTTTCTTGATACTGGCGTGAATTTTTCAATTTAATTAATAATAATCATAAATAGGATTGGTACGTAAGTGTGAAATGAATAGAAGTGTAATAGGTAATAGTTTAGCCATGCCCCTAACAATGAAAATTATATTATATTATTTAATAAGTAGTAGTAGCAGTTTCACGAAATACTAACTTTTATTTAATATGACTTCAATGTCGATACAAATATCGATATCTTGGGTCACGCCCTATGACAATCCGCCATCGAAGAATTTGCATTTGAAGTTTAGGCATATACGCTTTTTTCGTAGGTATGGCCGGTCCTCTTCTTTTATGTCTATGCCTAGTATTATAGTACTGCTTCACCGGTAACTGCGAAAACGTCATTACACAGACGCATAAATTTCGTTGACGTCAAAGACTACATATAGCGTATAAGATTCTCATTCGTAGAGATGTTCCGATACCATCGAAGTATCGATACCTACCTCTTCCATACAGTTTTAGGAACCATAAGGTTGAAGGTTGGGCCCTACAGTAATGATGGAGACAGCTGGCCAGGGAGACTAAAGGATAATTGTCTCCCTCCGAGCTAGGTGTTGTTAGCCCGGGGACCGCGGTCCAACCGATGTAGGTGGACTTTGAACCGATGAAACTTATTCTGTGCGATGTAGGTTTCTTTGTTCTAAATGTCTTGTAGTTATTAATTTATGCTGTTTGTATTGGTACAGCGCCATCTCGTTACTTGCTGTTAAAACTTATTGCAGATTGTCTTGCTATCGATGGCTGTGACGATGCTAGCCTTCTCGCTATCGATTGTTGTGGCGATGTTAGTTCGATGACTTAGATGTCGCTATGTATCAGTCGCCACACAGTACCCCTCAAGTATTTTTAGTTCTAAAATAATGATTAAAATTAGACATAGATAAAATATTTTTTACCCCTATGCTTTACAGAATGCAGAAGATAAAATATTTTGCTATAAAAATTATTATCTCAAAATTTTGTTCAATCATTGTGCAATCTTAATATTAACCCTTAAATGGTCAATAATATTGCACAATTCATAATATCGTGCTGTACGACTTGTAAGACTTGTAAGACTTTTTTTATTGTTTAAGAATTTTCCTAGATTTAAACTTAGTGGTGTTTGTTTGACAGTTTATTAAAGGACTAATATTAGTGATGCACTTTATGTTGTGCCTTTTATCTTTACACTTAGCATGAGACAGTATTTTGGCTAAGTATTGAATATATAGTTACAGTAATATACGTCTTTTATTGGTGTATAGAAATCATTCGGATCGTGCGATCGTCAACTAACAACACTATCATCATACGCAAGAGCTGCACGGTTGTCAATAGGAACAGCGGCTGTGGGAATCGGAAATTTATTTCATCGAAACAAAATGGCGGCAGGTGCAAATGTTTCATGTCCGTGGCCCAATACTGAAGATGATTATGAATTACGCGACGTTATCGGTAAGTTTTCTTATGTTATCATCATAAAATTGAATTTGAATATCTGTTTTCATCGAAATCAAATTTTAATTGTGTTACTAAAATAGTTAAGCGGCTTTTTCATTACAATTTGTCAACTTCCACATCACAATTATTGTCAGTCAATTTTGAGCTTTATTTTGCGTTGAATTTATTGATGAAGTTTAAAAATAACGGATATTATCATTTTTAGATTTATAAAATAAATTGCAACGAGTTTATTATAAATTTTATCATTTAACGTGCATATAGTTCACATTCTTACAAATTACCACCCATTGAACTTTGACATAAACCTTGAGTGAGGTTGGCAGTATTCTTGAATTTGAAATAAGCATGTTACAAGCACCAACACTGATTAATAAATATTTTCATATATAATATACCTTTATCTATGTGTTGACAGTACCTGTAGGAGAAAGTCATCTAATTAGATATTAATTAGATATCTTTCTTTTGTATTTGTTAGAGAAAAAAAAACATCTTTTAATATTCTCTTTTATTTTAGAAATTTTAAAGTTTTCTATAGAAAGTTACAGATGTTTCTTTTACTTCCTGAATGTTTAAAAGTAAAATTACCAAAAATTTTAGGCCCAATCAGCAAAATAGATTACATAAAATTGCTATTATCTGATATTTTAATATTACTTAAACGTTTGCTTTACATAAGAATGAATTTCCACAACAAAATGAAATTAATTAAATCAATCATAACTTTAGCCTAATTTATAAACTAAAGTTTTGAAATCATTTCAATATATTTCAGGTGTTGGTGCAACGGCTGTTGTGTATGGTGCTTATTGTAAACCCAGGGGTGAAAAATGTGCCATAAAAAGGATAAACTTAGAGAAATGGAATACTTCAATGGATGAACTCCTAAAAGAAATTCAGGTATTTAATAAAAAAAGAAGCAGGTACTCAAAGGCTTAGGTTCATAATTTTTGTTTTAATCTGAGCCTTAAGAAAATAATTAACAACAATAATATTGTTACCATTTGGAATACTTATGTTGTATGTTTGTTACAGGCTATGTCTAGTTGTAATCACGAAAATGTAGTAACATATTATACAAGTTTTGTGGTAAATGATGAACTATGGCTTGTTTTGAGGTTACTAGAAGGTAAAATCAATGTCCTTCATAATTGAAAATGAAATAGTACAAAATATATGTTATATTGTAATTTATGTTATTGCAGGTGGTAGTCTATTAGATGTTATAAAACATAAAATGAAGGTTACAAATTGCAAACATGGAGTTTTTGATGAAGCCACTATTGCAACAGTTCTCAAAGAAGTTTTGAAAGGCCTGGAATATTTCCATAGTAATGGACAAATACATAGGTGAATAGAGATCGATCATTATTATAGTACTTTTAAGTAACATGTGTTATATTTTTATAAGATATTTTTTTAATAATCAATATTGTTGTTTATATTTCAAGTAAAACTAACTGAATAATATATATATATCTAACATTGTCTAATTTAATATTTTCAAACATTTTGCAAACTATTTTCCTTCTTAAAAACAAGCAATGGCAATGGCGAATAAGTTTAATTATCAATTAGATAGTGATGTTGTAAAGCAAGTGAAGTAAAAACTTGTATATAAACAAAAAAATTGTATTATCAACTTTTTGATGATTTATCATATTTATTTTCACAGTACATAATATTGATATAAAAGTTCACCGATTTCATCTAAATTAAATATGTCATAAATTAGGTTTTGTATTCTGGATCTGGCAATACTGGCTTCGCTTTTGGCAATATTTCTAATGCTACAGTGGAAATTCTTTTTTCTTCATGATCATCATTAGCTTAATGTCCACAACAGGTTTGTTGCAAATATCAGCATCAGCAACAATCAATGCTGATTTTAATGCCTATTTTTAAGTTGTAACGCGTTCAGAACCCCGCTTTCCTTGTTCAACTCACGTGTAGTTATAGAAATTTTTAAATTGGCACTATAAAAGTTGGAACATGCTTGCACATTTGCTTGTTTTGTCAACCTTATTTAATGAAGCTGTTGATTATTAAATACTAACTGTTTACTTGCGAAATTATTTTCTTGACTGTTTTGGGAAAAGTATTATGCTTATATTAAATCACTATCAGATTTTATTTTCTCCAAAAGTGTTATTAAAAATGAATAAACCTATTTTTATTCATTATTTAAATTGCTTCGCAAAACCAATCAGTTATCTTAAATTATGAGCTGTGATGTTACATTTCAATAAGCATGAATGAGTATGGTTGCAATCGCAAAAAGACGTTGACGTTTAGTTTATTGAAATGTAATGTCACACTATGCTCCGCCGTAGCCGCCGTTTTTCGATTCTTGCAATCCACAGATTCAAATCGCAAGTTGATTATGCAAAAATAAAATATACTTACAATTAATTTTAAAACAAAAAATACTACAAAATTAATGTTTAACTACATATCATTTCCAAATTTATTTATAACTGTTATGTAGATAAATATAACTTTTGTCACCTGTGTATTTTGTAGCTTCCTGTAGATGAAATAATTTTCAAAATCCATCTAGTGGTTACTATGTCCATGCAGTGCAAACAAACAATCAAATATTCATCTCTATAATATAAGTATTATGAAACTTGTGTTTTATTCTAAAAAGCATACCTCGTTTCTTAAAATTTTGTTGTTTGATTAAATTTAAGTAACATATTAATATCACACTCCACTGATACAGTAAAAATCCATATCAGCAAAGGCCAGCAAGGTCCAATGGGTGCAAACAATTACATAAGATAGTTAATTTCCAGTCACCCATGCTATGAATTGCTCTTGCGAAAGTAGCTTGCATTGCAGACTGAAAATGCTTACTACTGCGCCATCAAGTTGTCTATGATTTACCTTTCAAACATAAAATATATCAATTATTTTAACACATTGTTGCAAAGCACTGCTTTATGTACTATGCGAATTTTGGCTAAAAATATATTTTGCAATTATTGTGTTTTAGCTGTGCCAATTGTAATTAAATTACTGGTAAAATGCTGCATATTGTTTCTATACGCCCAAATTTGTGGAATCTCACAAGAAATTCATATTTTCCTTTTCTCATAGTTTCAACTTATTGAACCAAGGCCTTCGCAATTAAAATTAGTATTTCCTTTAACTATCCTACCCTAATAAAGTGAGTCTCACAATATTATTATGATAATTGTCATTATCACTAAAATATTGTTCTGAGCTGACAGATCTTTATTTATTTTGATTATGTGTAACTATGTAACTTTTTGATTGATTTTTTGTGTACTTAGCATATAGTTTGGCATAATCACTTTTCTAGTTTTAAATTACAATCCATATTTACCTTCCTTTTCAAATGAGGGATTTTACTGTATGTTACAAAGGCAAGGGGGTATTTACTTTTATGAAAGATTTTTTTAAATATGGTGTGTTTGGATAGTTTTTGGTTATCTGGTATTTGCCTGATACAAATTTGACAGCTGGATAGGCAGATTACTATTCATATCTAGTTTTTATGCCTCAAATTTTACATATCAAAGTTGAATAACTATACTAAGTACTCAAGATCTCTAGTGTCAACTAGTTATTGGGGTTCTAGATAGGATTATATCAATCACCTGAAACTGATGAACATTATTACTAAAATTTTGCTTATATTGCGAAGTAAATATTTATTAAATATTGTCTTAGATATTCTTATAGGTTTTTGAATGAAAATAATTATTAGCATTAAATCATATAAATGTTTTTGTTTTTTTTTGTATTTGGGTCATTCCACTGTTCTAAAGAATGCAGATATATTAAGTGATCTGTGTTTATTTAATCAACAGGGACATCAAAGCTGGTAATATACTGCTGGGGGAGGATGGCACTGTTCAGATAGCAGATTTTGGGGTCTCCGCATGGTTAGCCACCGGCAGAGATATATCAAGGCAAAAAGTTAGGCACACATTTGTTGGGACGCCATGTTGGATGGCCCCAGAAGTAATGGAACAAGTAAGCGATAAAATATATTTACATTTGCACATAAGGCCAACTACTTTATATTTTTTCTAATTTTGTATTAAAATGGCAATCACATAAGCATAATAGCAACAATAACTAGCTTTTTGTAATAAATAAAGAAGGTTTTTGAACAATGAAATGCCGTCATTTGGAACATCAAAAAAGTGTAGCGAGCGGTTGATTCCATCAGTATCACCTGTGTTTCTTTGTATATCTAATATGTATAAACACAAAGTTGTAATACCAATAATTTAAAATATTAATGTCCGTTAAAATCAGAATGATTTTATATTTCAATGAGGTTCGAAACTTTGCTAACAGATGGGCGATATCAGGTGTGGTGCTATAATGTCAGGACCATCCCTATTTTTAGGACCACGGCTACGACTTCAAAGCTGATATTTGGTCATTTGGAATAACAGCAATCGAAATGGCAACTGGAACCGCGCCATATCATAAATACCCACCTATGAAGGTCTTGATGCTTACCTTGCAAAATGACCCTCCTAATTTAGAAACTGGTAATTTTTTTTACTTTATGTTGTAAATATAGTAAGTTTCAGTGATATTGTGATTCAGGCAATTCACCGATAAAAGTTTTAAAAGAAAAACAATTTGAACTGTACCAATAGTGATGCAGATGGAATTATTATATAATAGCAGTACTGATATTACAAGGAGTTCGATGGCGCAGTAGTCGGTGCGTAGGTTTGGTTTGGTCGGTAGATTTAGCAGCTTGCAAAAGGGTTTAAAGGCTAAAAGTCAATTTCAGGCGTTGATTGCATTTGAAGTCGTTGACACCTACCAAAACGTGCCGGGCCTGTGTTGTGAATTATGACCCATTTTCTTTATTCCATTGCAGCCTTAGGAAAGGCCTGTTAGCCTTTGAAATTAATATGCTGATGATGATGACTATTAGACTCGTAGTTCAATAGATAGGGTGTTTGAATTTCAAAAGAGACCAGTCGCTTTTTACTTTATCTTTAACAGTCATTCGATATTTTTAAACTATATACAATATACTTAAGGATTTGTACACAACTACGATGTGAAGTTCCTGATCCTGATGCATCCCGAAATCCTACTAGCTCAAACGACCCAGCTCAAATTGCGAATTTTTTATCATCGCGCGTTCTGGCGCTGTTTTGTCACATTTGTTGATGTTCAGTGGTCACTGGACCACGGAAGGGAGACCCTTTATGCGTTGCAAATTCGTAGTTTTATGCACAAGCTCTCAATAAACTATTAATACAAAATAAATGTTCCAAAATGAATGATCAGCTTAAAGTGAAATTCACATAAATATCAATGATTGTTGTTGTAATCAATGAGGTTTTGTTTTATAAAATACACAATGGTAAAGGGATATTTACCAATACACGCCAATGATTTTAACACAGTATAAAATGTTTCATGATTGTAATACTAAGCTTAAAAATAAATCATCTATAATATTACAATTCTATATAAAACATATTTATCTAACTTTTTGTAATTGCTAAATTAAGCCATTATAAATTAAAGCTAGCTTTGTCATATAACGTAAATATAGATGAAAGAATTGATAAATTTATTCCTGTATTTTGTTTCTCAGGGGCAGATGAGAAGGAGCAGTATAAAGCATATGGAAAAACATTTAGGAAAATGATTGTGGATTGTTTACAAAAAGATCCTTCCAAAAGGCCAACAGCCACAGAATTGTTAAAACATCCATTCTTCAAAAAGGCAAAAGATAGAAAGTATCTCACACAAACTTTAGTTGCTATTGGACCAAGTATGGAGACTCGAGTCCACAAGGTAAAAAATATTTGATTAAAAGTGTATTAATATTTGTTTGTGTATTAATGATGTCATGTTTTGGGTATATGTGAAAACTTATATATAGGTATAAATTTTTGTTTTGCGAATATGCTTATATATTTATTTATAGATTTCCTATTTTGTTTGTTAGGCTAGTAAAAAACAACCAGGGGCATCCGGAAGATTACATAGGACTCTGACTGGTGGTTGGGTGTGGAGTGAAGAAGAGGATGAAGATGCAGAAGCTCCCGAATCTGATGAAGACTCCTCCACTGGGGAGGACAAGAGGCCCATGAATGAGCTTCAACAAGCAGACTCCAGTGGGAGTGAAGATGACGAGGTATAGAAGAGATGATCACAATATGAAATATATACATGAAAACTTTGGTTTCACCAACCATTATTATTAACTAAGCAATTCTTATCCAAAAATATCTTTTTTTTTAGACAACAAGCTACAATATTTGTGATGTGAATTGATCAAAATCCTTTCTCAGGGGATGCCTACGTTATAGTAGCTTTATGCATGCAAAGTCTCAGCCCGATCGGTTTAAAATTGACAAAGTTTCATACAAACTTTCATCCCCTATTCTATCCCCTTGGGGGTAGAATTGATCAAAATACTTTCTTAGCGGATGTCTACGTCATAACATTCACCTGCATGCCAAATATCAGCCCAATCCGTCCAGTGGTTTGGACAGTGCGTTGATAGATAACTATGTCAGTCAGTCACCTTTGAGTTATATATATATTTAGATTATTTTGATAACAGTACGATTCTGGTCACTGCTTCAAACTGCAAATTTGTCTTCCCATCAGGGCTAATGCAATACGATGCTACTCCACTTAATTCTTCCCTCCTGTCCACTTCCATTTTAGCTAATCATCATTATTCATTCGTCGTTACTAAAGTAGTAAAATGAAATATGGGCGCAAAATCGATAAGATGTTTTATCCTATGATTTGAATCATGGCTAGACAGGTGGTTGCACCCCAGGCTTTACTTATGCTCAATTCAATTTCTTTATCTATGATATCTTTTAGTGAGATAATTTGGTTTTTAAGGGTTTCATAGCAAAAAAGGAAGAACGGAAGGAATTCTTATACTACTTCGTTGTCTGTCTGTCAATCACATCCAAATTTTCTCCATTGACTGAAATAAAATAGAAAGATGTTTTTTTCTGGAATGTGAAGAGTTGTCCTTTTATATTGTTGGTATTATTTTTTATTTTGGTTTCTGCCTTTAATTTTATCAGTGTTGGTTCGCCCAGTGGCAAACGCTCATAGTGCCATATCCAATCACAACATAATAAATAGGGGATATAATTACGGACCTTTTTTACAAGCCCGGAGTTCCGGTACTGGGCAAAGACAAGGATGATAAGACAAGGATTCCGTTTATTCGCACTTTCTTGACTTGTGTTGTCTACTACAAAAACTTTAATTTAGTTTGGTTCTTTTTCTCAATGGTAACGTCATTATTTTCTTTCAGTGAGTTAGTGTGGCATCTAAGTATCAATCTTCTTTGTATCAGGGTTGGTTTCGAAAGTGTCAAAACTACCGATATTGTTCAGTTTTTTTCATATACATATACTATATATGCAAAAAAAATATATAAACCTATTTATTCTACAGGTTTTCGTTACTTTGTTGTAGTGAAAATATTGACTTTGCATAACTAAAAGCTGTGCAATGAATATAGAAAATACGTAGCAAGTAACAAGCCAATTTGGTTCTCTTATAGTTGCCATATAGACATTGAAATTTTTTTAAAAGGTTGATATTTTAATAAATTTATATTTATTCATAAAGCCTCAATGCAATCTCTTTGGCTAATAAATACATAATTTCACAGGAACCTGTAACTGGGGAAAAAAAACCTCTACAAGAAACAAGAATGGATGAGAAGGGAGGACCACAAGTGATTAATCTAGTATTAAGATTGAGGTATGATTTCAATGATTTTTTGTTTTACTTTTTAATGATTTTCGTAATTGCCTCTTTTGGAAGTATGTAAGGCACTTTTATTAAAACTAGGTCCTAGGCTCTTCATTTTTGTAGTTTCAAGTGTCCTTGTCAATGCAATTGTTCATAGTAAGCAATAGCAACTAAGAGATTACGTAAATAAAATCCATTTTATGATTTACATCACTAATACATCAATGATATTAATTCAGAATACTGTTTTTAGAAATGCTCGCAGAGAATTGAATGATATCCGTTTTGAATTCATAATCGGCAAAGATTCCGCAGAGGGTATCGCCGGTGAATTAGTAGGCGCTGGGTTGGTGGACCCCCATGATAGTGTTCCCATCTCACTGAACTTGGCCAAGCTGCTTGAGGCACAATCGATGCCATCGTCTTCCAAAGCCATTACATTCCATTTGGTGAGTCTTAAATTATAACCAGGCTCATAGAAAAATATTTTTTAATGATTGCTTTCATTTAAGTTTATTTTCACTATTTGATATAATTTTAAGGAAATGGGTGATATTTTATTTAAATTATTATACCAGTTATGTCAGTTTAAATAATAAAAATAATAAATAAATATATCTAACCTAAATGTTGGATAGTTTATAAATGAACAAAATATTTAACTATGCGCTAGTAAAAAATACATTATTCTTACTCCTAACCTGGATATCAAAATGTTTTCTTTATATTATTTTCTGTTTGCTTGTACCATAAACTAGAAATACATAGAATAAATTCATAATAAAACACAATATTTCTTAATAATATAACTAATACAATAAAAAGGTTTTCTTTAAAATGTTCAAAACCACACTTTTCTTCTTTATATTATTTAAAATCTTAACAACTATTACTATTTTTTCGATACGATGTAGGCATAACTAAATATTTGGTAAATCCTTTTACTCATACATACATTCTGTGGTGGTTATAGTACAAGCCTCTGTGATTTTTCATTTTGACCAATGAACTTTCTACGTCTGATTGTAATAAAATCATTCTGGTTATACCATTTGTATCTGGCTGGTATTGGTATCATTTTTGTAAAAGTGGGAAGAATGACCACAAAATCATTTTGGTGAATTTGTAAAAAGCTGGGTACACAAAAAAGATGGATATTTGGGTACCTTACGAGCTCATTGAAAGAAACCTAATGAACCCTATTCTCATTTGTGATTCTTTATTACGCCGTAATGAGACCAAAAATGAGGCGTGGTCAAAGGTTCACAGACTATGGCGAAACCCGTTTAATTCGCAAAAAGGTGATGCTTTATATGATTGGATTGGAAGGGCATTATTTGTTATGAGCTGTTACCACCATAAGTAGCTCGGTGGCGTAGTGGATAAGCGCCGCGGCCTGCGATCGTAATCGTTAAGCAACTTTCGCAAGGGTCGGTCACGGGATGGGTGACCAAAAATTATTATCTCGAGCTACTCCGTGCTTCGGAAGGCACGTTAAGCCGTTGGTCCCGGCTGCATTTGCAGTCGTTAATACCCTCCAATCCGCATTGGGCCAGCGTGGAGGGTCATGGCCCATCCTCCTTAACCATCCATAAGGAAGGCCTGAGCCCCTGCAGTGGGGACGTAAAAGGGCTGGTGGTGATGTCACCACCATGCAGGACCATTGATTCTGAACTCTTCAGCGAATAACTGTTGAGATTAAAGTAAGAAGTTGTGAGAAAGCGACCAGAATTAATCAAAAGAAGGTGTGTGGTTTTTCATCATGATAACGCTAGACCTCACACATTTTTTGCCACTCGGAAATTAAGAGTTTGGCTGGGAGGTGTTAATGCATCCGCCGTATAGTCCTGACCTTGCACCTTCAAATTTCCACCTGTTTCGGTCTCGTCGCGGTTTTTTGATCGGAAGCCACAATATTTCTACAGTAATGAGGTCATGTCCCTACCTACAAGATGGCAAAAGGTTTTACATACTTTAGTTAAGTGTAAAATCTTTATAATTTATTTATTGAAACTTTATTGAAAAATTATTTGAATTATCATATAAAATGCAACAAAACTTCCCCAACTAATTATATGTTTTTATTACCTCTGTGGCATATTTTACTCAATTCAAATCGAATAGGGAAAATGAGCCATGAGCCACCCACGCATATTGCTGTGTGTCGCAGTCGTTTACTGTAGATGCAAACGGGACCAATGGCTTAACATGATCTCCGAAGCACGTAGGAGTTTGATATAGTAAATTTTTGATCACCTATGTTATGACTGGCCTTTGTGAAAGTTGGTAACTTCCACATTGCAGACTGAATGCACCTACCACTGCGCCATCTAGCTTTTGTTATATGATATATAATAAAATACTCTAATTCTTTATTTTATTTACAGAATTCCACCGGTCCCAACGAACAGTTCGACGACAAAGCGCTCATAGGATTCGCGCAAATATCTATTGTAGACTAATTTAAAAAATTACAAGACGGAGTGTGTATGTGTGAAAAACAATTCAAAGTCCTTCGTTAAAGTAGTGAGTGGAATTTCTTAATCATTCCTTCGATTAGTTAACAGCGAAGGCCTATAGATGGCGCTTCCTCGATGCCTTAGAAGTACGTAAAACGTATCATATTCATATAAGTCGATAAATAATAGTAATTTTAAAATTACTGATACGAAACTAAAATTGTAAATTTTGATTTATAGAATTTTAATGACTTTTCCACTTTGCATAGATATATTTAAATTTCGAATATTGTTTTTGAAAATATTTATAAGTATTTGTAGTTCCATAAATATGTGAAAATTGAGGATGAAATATTTTAAATACTTTCACATAATAAGGAAATAAAATATTTCATCATAAAACTGAATGAAGTCACAACCTATCAAGAATATTAGTCTAATGAATTGCATTAGTGCTAGTCTAATGAAATCTCTTTCAGTTTTAGAAAGTCGTTTTAGCATATTGACTTATTATATTGATTTTTTAAATAAATAAATATGTTGATTTAGAATCTGATTAATTATGATATGCAAATTGAATTACAAATTTATTGACTTTTTTAAACTTATCACAAAACCGCGATAAAGTTTTGAAACGCAGTCAATATTTATGATCCTGAAACTTGTCGCTTTGTCATCTTTAATAGGCTTATTCCTTGCATTTGATTTTCGCTCACTGCGCGAGACAAAGTCAAAGACTTTTTTGTTTAAAAACAGCATCAAGTTTCTTGGTCTAATCTAAATAAATAGTTTTTAGTTTTTATGAATATTTTAAAAAATAAAATCGTGCTTTTTTTCAGCACTCTCATAAAGATTTATACAAGAAAAAGTTATAATAAATTGTTGAGGTATTATTTAATTACATCACAAATATTATTAATAATGTAATACATTACAGACTGTAAGTCGAAATCTGGAATATGCTTGGTAAATTCACTCTGCAATATATATTGTACGGAGAGTTCGACAGCGAATCTTGGAGAATATCAAAACACAGGCAAAAAAATATTAATAACTTGAATGATATTTTAGAAGGTATTACTCATCTAAGTTCATTATTATGTTATACGCCTAGTAGTCCACCTAAAAAACGGTAAATAACATATAGAACTTAATTTGTCGCAAAAGTAATTCCAATAAATTCTTAATAATAAATTGGAGCGATAAAAACGAAATAAACGTGAAAAACCGATAACCTATTAACCTTAAATAAATGTGAACTTGGACACGGTCTTATATGGACTTAGTTAAAAAATAATAGGATAATTTGTGGTGTTTCGCTAGTGTGATTTAAAACTAAATCACCTAGCACTGCGTTACCATTTCATTCCTTGTGTTTGTACAATTCGCTTTGATTGGTACACGCTTTGTCGAGGTGTTAATTTTAAGATCAACCGATCACATGTTTGAACGTAATGGATTTGTTCATATTTATTCTTATTCTAGTTATTGGTACTTGTATTTATTATTTTGGTGCTAGAGATTTTGTGGAGGCACGGCCTTTCTGTATTCGTATATGATACGTGGTATAGATAGTGTTTTTGGTTTCCGGCACTCTGTAGATTATTATTTGATAACAGGCCATTTTAATATTAGCGCGCCAAAGAAGTTAATTAAAAATAGTTGCTTTATGATATTTGAAAAATATCACGTTTGTTGAATTTCGGGATTCCTTGTCCATCGGACTTGCAAATACGTATTATTGAGGAATGTTAAATTAATTTTTCCTTAACGATTTTATTTAAAATTTAAGTATATTATTTGTATTTAGTGTAAGATGAAGATTATCTCTAATTTAAAATACAGAACATCAGGATGAAATATCAGTTTGCCTTATAGTAGAAAGTAATTTTATCTGGGTCTAGAGTTAACAATGAGCAAACAAATCAGCTTGATATACGCAACACGTATATATAGCTAATGTAGAAGGTACAAATCTGAAGTATATATATATATATATATATATATCTTATAAAACGAACATCACTGCAGTACAAAAACATAGAATAATCAATTGGTATATCCTACCGAATACTAATGGAAAAGAAGATAATTAGTAAGTTAGAGTTCACCTTTTTTCTACAGTGGGTGGATTAAATTTTATGATGTTTTGATTAAATTAGGAGAGAATGTAATTATTCCTGGGAGTGTTCTATGAAAAGTAAATATTTTGTCTGTTTTTTTCAGAAATTATTATATATTATTATAATTTAACTTCTTCTATGCGGGGTATGTTTGTAATCAGTACACAAATTCTTTCATACAATTTAGTATCGTCAAAAGAAGTCCTACAATTTAATAAATAAGATTCATATTTATTACTATTACAACGTTCTTTTAATAATAGACTAGTAGTAGTAGTATTAGTAACTTTATCACCAGCCTATTTAATGTCCCCGCAGCTGGGGAATAATGCTTTCTTGAAAATGGAATATTGAGTATATTGGGTATATTGACAAAAATCTGTCACTAACCTCCGGTTACAGTGATATCTTAAGTAGTAACTTGCTTGTGATATTTTTTTGACTCTGTTGTTAGTACATAAAAAAGAGAAAAAGAATCGTAAATATGAATTACATTAACGAAACCAATATTAAAAAGTTTGTGTACTGATTACATGTTTATTCTGCAAATGAAAGAAGCTTCTAGCTCACAAAAGGTATTAAAATACTTATGAAATTAACATTAGAATACTAACCAATGACATAATTATTCACTATGATACAAATTGAATGGGGTTATGCAAATAATACAAAAAATACCGAGATCCCAGGAAAATGTTTGCATCGCGAACAATTGTTGTTACTTATAACGAAGTTATAATAACTTCAAAATTGTATATTGATCTGATTTTATATATATTTTATTTTTATGAACAGGGGGGTTACCATCACTTCTTATAGCAATGTTTAATCCGTGCAGCGAGCGGGATATCGCTATAAGGAATAATACTGACGTCCCGTTCGCTGCACGGATTAATCATTGCTATAAGAGAGCTCATGGTTAGACCTCAGGCATTTTTTCTCAATATTTAAGAGTGCATCATGTTTGTTTTGTGTGTCAAATTAACTGTTGTCTTCTCTTCAAATTGTAAGTCTTCAATATTATTCTCAAGTTTGAAATACAAAAATAAAGATAGTAATAAATTGAGCCAATAAATAATATATTATTAAATTATTTGGTTTCTGGTATCAATGACACCCGAACAGTGCTTTTATAGAAGGAAAACTCATCACTCGATGGTTAGAAATCGTAGTTCACTTTATGGTTGTAGGTGGCGCTGTAATTTGTTATCAATAATTTTAGTGCTAAGAAAGTGTTCTTGGCACAATTATAAGTTATGTGACTCAATGATATACCTGCGTAGAAGACAACATTTTAATGTGAGGCAAATGTTGGCTATTAGAATGATTCAAGTATCACGCCATCAGTCACTCAATATACAAGCACCTGACACTCGCTGAGTGTGGGAGTGAGTTTTAATCGTACACTCGGCCGTCATCGTTATTGGTGGATTTGCTCTGCGCAAACGAATTTTCGCCATGCGCCATATTAGTTTTAGTAAAAGAAATTAAGAATTTGATTTTAATTTATTTGAATCTAATGATAGTTGAACTATAATTGTGTTGAATATTTAATATTCTTTTTTTGATGTGAATAAGGTTCGCCATCTACGATATACGTGCGAAAGGTACAGTTCATAACGGTAGTATAAGTTTTGAAGATAATAATAATAAGACAGGGCCGGTTTCTGAATTGAGAATAGTACAAAATCTCAACTGATTATTCTCAATAACTTAATTTTTTTACTTTTCACACGGAAAAAGTCCTAGTTTTATCAAATGCTTTCAATTGATCATTAAAAAACTAAAATCGGAAACGAAAATCTACTTAAGTGACTTTTAAGTGCAGTTGAGACGTGCCTAACTTTAAATACTCAATTTAGAAATCGGGTATAAATTTATATTGTTTGACATACAGCCAGTTGCACAAAATTTGTTTGAAGCAACATTACTCATACAAAGTTGACATTCATTAGAGCTTAGACATCATTAAATATTAATGGACATTTGTGCAACTGACCTTAAGAGTTCATAAAGTAGATACACAGGGTTCAAAAGTTTAAGATTGTATAATTGCGATCGTTTTTCCAGTGGATCTGCTAATTGTTCTACCCTGGCAAGTGGTAATTCATTGTAAAGTTTGTAGCCATATTCATAAACTGTGTATAAATATCGAGCCTTTATATGATAAATATCAAATGTCTTCGTGTAATATGGATCGCTGTTTCAGTAATTTTTTATAAATTTTATTTTGCGACGTCTGAATCGTCAGTATAATTGGTAGTATAGATAAGCAAAATATAATAACGATGGATGGATTATATTATGAAATTTGTTGATGATTACATGTTGTAAAGGTGATCGCAGGTCTATCAAAAAGGTATGTGCCGAATGAGGTGAAAGAAAATAATTTTAGATTTCTTTATATTAAAACAATGAACCATTGCATGCGCCGAATTCTTCGTATTTCATCGTAACTGCAGGGTGTAAAGGCAAAGGCAGATATGCGATCACCATAATAGTAATGTTTAGGCATTTTAAATAATGCGTGTATAATCAATGCGTTTGATTAATATATATGTTTACAACAAGTAAGTTTAAATCTGTGTGAATGTTACTAAAGATTGTTAATCTGGTTTGCATTTTACACATCTTTGAATGGTATGTACCTGAGAATTACTGAAGCAGCCCAGCTTCCAACAGTTGTTTTCCTTTGTTTTCTTAACGCCGTGTGATTTGATAATTCAATTTTTATATAGATTTAGGTTCTGATGAGCTTTAATGAGCAGTTTATGTATTTATTTATATTTTGGATTAAACCATTTTCGTATTAGTATAAAAATATTTTCAGATTAGTTTCTGAAAAGATGATTGATCGCGATTCATTGATGTTCACAGATTTTCGTATCTAAATGTCACATTATTATAATGTTAAATGGACCCCAATGTCATTAATATCGTATTATTAGATATAATGTGTACGGGGCACGTTTATTCAGCCCCGAATGTTATATAATTGTGCATTTTGCTTTCAGTAATAATGCGTGAAGCAACTTTTATCTTTACGTTTAAGAATATTCAATAATATAATTGCTGGTTCAAGAAATGGCATATTATGAATTATGGAATTTTATTTTTATAAATTAACAATATCAAGAATATAATTTATCACGAACGA